AGTTACTATTATTAACATGTTTTAGAAAGAAAATTCTCATGACAAAAAGACATTCAGAAGTAAATTTCGAATACCATATACTAGAATTTCACACAATGGTCTTTTGGAAGGAATATCTGTTTCTCCTTAAACACCTGACTAGGTGAAAGCACACACCACAACAAAATGTATGTAGGCATTACCGGCGGATGGCATGAGGGTTACACCCCTCTTTCACTGGATCCACGGTGAAACTTTGGACCATGAATAGCTGGAGAAAAGTTTTCTCTTGGCACCTGTCCGGGTTCTCTTCTGATGTCCCTGGTTACATATTAGACTGTAATCTGCTTTGGAACCTCACCTTCACATTTGTAATGGTTCCCTGTGGACTGAGCTGGTCCACATACAAGCTCTCCAAGGAGAGAGACCAGAAACTGGTCTCTCCCACATTAGCCCCTGTGCAGGCCATGACCTGTAATCCTCACAACCTGTGGGTGCGCTGATTACTTCTTCCTAATTTTATGTGGATTACTATTTCTGAATCAAAGAGCATCAGAGTTTTTAAAGTCTGAGTATGCTTATGTAGTCAATGGAAAAGAAGAATACAATTAATCTGGATGGTCTTGGAAATTCAGGGCACATGGTTACTGTAGTGAATAGTGTCATAATATGGTATAAAATAAGAGATACATAATTTCTAGAGGGTTAATCGGGTACATTGGTCTACAGATCTGCTAATGAGATTCAAATTTTTTTTTAAAGATTTTATTTATTTAACAGAGAGAGACACAGCGAGAGAGGGAACACAAGCAGGGAGAGTGGGAGAGGGAGAAGCAGGCTTCCCGCTGAGCAGGGAGCCTGATTCCGGGCTCGATCCCAGGACCCTGGGATCACGACCTGAGCCGAAGGCAGACGCTTAACGACTGAGCCACCCAGGCGCCCCTCAAATTTTTTTTTTTTTGTAAGTGTGTGTGTGTGTGTGTGTGTGTACAGCTTCTGTAAGAAAAAACAGGTTGAACAAGGATGCCCTGTTTTGATGGTTGCTCAGAGAAACATATAGCCACACATAAGTCATTTGTATATGAAACAGTCCATTAGGAGATCGCTCTGTGCAGCTGCTTGACCCAAACATTTTTTTTCCTCAGTCTCTTTGAAAAAGCCTTAACACAAGTCCGTGGAAGGAATAACTTAAGTCTCTTTAATAATACTTCAGTTAGGGGCACCTGGGTGGCTCAGTCGTTAAGCGTCTGCCTTCGGCTCAGGTCATGATCCCAGGGTCCTGGGATTGAGCCCCACATCAGGCTCCCTGCTCAACGGGAAGCCTGCTTCTCCCTCTCCCACTCCCCCTGTTTGTGCTCCCTCTCTCACTGTCTCTCTCTCTCTGTCAAATAAATAAATAAAACCTTTAAAAAAAATAATAATACTTCAGTTAGCAAAGCACTAAAATGTGAAACTGTTTCAATTGGTCAGGGCATATCCTTATAAAATTGAATCATAGTCCTCTGTTACGTATTTTTCTGTTGTCTTCCATGATTTTTTTAATTTGAATTCAATTAACCAACGTATAGTACATCCTTAGTTTCTTCCATGATTTTTCAAATATATTTTATATATTTATATACAGTACTTTAAAACCCTTTCATTTCACTTAATGTACAGTAATTTTTTCCAAATTAGGGAAATGCTACATATAAAGTTACAAAACTAACATAAAACAGTAACCTTTATTCACACAAGAAGATGATCCTGTACTCTTTTATGTCAGTGTCATTTAATTACAAAAGTAATCCTGTTTCATAAAAACTCAAACAATACATATAAAGTGTGCGGTAGAGTCCTTTCTTACCTCTTTGCTTCTCCTGACCTCAGAGGGTGACCACTGGTTATAGTTCAAGTGCGACCTTTCAGACCTTTTTCTATGCCCATGCAAACACACAGGTGTATCTTGTAAAGAGTGACTGTAACATTCTTGAGGAATTAGGAGCACTGCTATGTGGAGAAAAAGTTTGATGATGTTAGTTGTTATGTTAAAAAGATTCATTCTCACAAACACAGGCAGATCGTTTTGTTGTAGCCCAGCTTTCCAAGTTTGAAGGAGTACTATTTTATACCAGCTGTGAAGTCAAGGGCATTTAGTAAAATGTTTTACCTTTGATTTTCTGTACTTCGCAGTTTGACCATGGATAGTTTATGAAGAGTACAGTATTCAGGGAAGATGGGAAAACAGCCAGTGTCAACTAAAGTAATAAAACGGAGTTAATCCCATGTCAACAATTTAAATTCCTTTAAAATTACTTGTTGCAGTCAAGAAACAATGCACCAATCTGTCATTTTTTTTTTTTTTTAGCTTAGTAGTAGGTGGAATTTCTTAGGTGACTCTAAACCTTATATATCTAGTGTTCTCAAGTTATTCATGAAGATTTCCTGTTGAGAGGAAAAACCAGCATTTATTTGGCGTTTGACACTATAAATCACAGTGGTTATGGGGGCAGAGGGAGGTCCGTAAATGGCCACTTGGATCTCTTTGATGCTAATTTGTCCTGTTCCCAGGCCCTTTCTGCCCTGATATGCTTGCCACTTAAAGAAATATGCACAGAGGATAGGCAGTGAGCATCAGGATTCCTTCATGTAAAAATTTCTGCTCAAATGAAAATTTTAGAATACTACAATAGCCAAACTATGGAAACAGCCCAAGTGTCCATTGACTGATGAATGGATAAAGATGTGGTGTGTATATATATGTATATATATGTGTGTGTGTGTATATGTGTGTGCGTATATATGTGTGTGTGTGTGTGTGTGTATGTATACACACACAATGGAATACTACTCAGCCATAAAGGGAATGACATCTTGCCATTTGCCACAATGTGGATGGAGCTAGAGACTATAATACTAAGTGAAAGAAGTCAGTCAGAGAAACAAAGATAACCATATGATTTCACTCATATGTAGAAATTAAGAAACAAAACAAATGAGCAAAGAGACCAAAAAAAAAGAGAGAGAGCAAAATCAAGAACCAGACTCTTAACTCTAGAGAACACCCTGATGGTCACCAGAGGGGAGGTGGGTGGGGGGATGGGTGAAATAGGTGCTGGGGATTAAGGAGGGCACTTGCTGTGATGAGTACCCAGTGTTGTGTGGAAGTGTTCAATCACTATGTTGTACACCTGAAATGAATATCACACTGTATGTTAACTGGAATTTAAATAAAAACTTAAACAAAATAAAGCATTGTGTAAAGGAACAAATTAAAATAAAATACAGTTAGGTAAAATATGTAAGGAAAGGTGGACCTCAAATCCTTTGTAAAGCAAGGTAATACAGAAAGTAGATGTATAAAAAACCTGAAGTTTTTTGCTGTTGTTGTTGGCTTTTTGTTTTGTTTTGTTTTGTTTTTAGTATAGTTGACACACAGTGTTCCAGGTGTATGACTTAGAGATCTGACAAGTTTATATACTGGGCTATTTCAGCACAGGTGTAGCTACTGTCCGCCCATTACGTCACTGTTACAGTATCACTGACTGGGTTCCTTGTGCTCTGCTTTTTCTTCCCATGACTTAACTCATTCTATAGCTGGAGGCCTGTTATCTCCCTCTCCCTGTCACCCATTTTGCCCAACCCCCCACCCTCCTCCCCTCTGGCAACCATCAGCAAAAACCTAAGATTTTATATGAGGTAAGAGCTGGGAAGGGTAACATTAATACCATCTTCATAGGAACAGTTTAAAGATTTTATTTATTTATTTGAGAGAGAATGAGATAGAGAGCATGAAAGGGGGGAGGGTCAGAGGGAGAAGCAGACTCCCCACCGAGCAAGGAGCCCGATGTGGGACTCGATCCCGGGACTCCAGGATCATGACCTGAGCCGAAGGCAGTCGCTTAACCAACTGAGCCACCCAGGCGCCCCCATAGGAACAGTTTAATCACATAGCTCCCTTTAGATTTTTTTTAATTCTCTAAACATTTTATTTTCAAGTTTGAATTTGTCACCTGAATATTTTTTTTTTTTTCTGCAGATAGTTTCCTGTAGGATTCCTCAAGTGTGGTTGGGATTTTACATTTTTGAACCAGAGCCCTGGCCTCATGGAGTTCATTGTCTCTCAAGAGAGACAGATAATTGGGCAACTACAGTTCAGTACTGTGAGAGCTCAGGGCAGAAACCCCTCTGTCAGTGGTGTGGGGTTGGGGAAGTGCCACCAGGGAAGGCTTCCTGGCAGAGGTGACTCCTAACATGATATCTGAGAGATGTGCACACACCAGTCAGGCAAAGAGCAACAGGCTTGGGCTGGGAATTGGTCAGGGAACCATCAGCATCTACCAAAGCCTGGCCATGAGAGAATCCAGAATACAGTTAAGTAACTGCTAGAAGTTCAGTCTGACTGTAAGGTAATTAGAAACATTTATTACGATAGTAATACTGTCCATTGTATATAAAATTTGAAAAATACAGGAAACAAGAGAAAACATATGCCATCACTCATTTCCAGCTGCAGAGTTTCCTGTGAACGTTTTCTTATGGTTTTGTCATGCCTTACATTTGTATTTACAGGACAACACATTTGGTATGCTCCCAGGGCAGCTTAAACCAGAGCTATGTATGGAGGCATAAATGCATGCGTGTATGAAGGCATTTTATTTTTTTTTAATTTTCTTTTTAAAGTTTTATTTATTTATTTGAGAGAGAGAAGGCGAGCATGGGGGGAGGGTCAGAGGGAGAAGCAGACTCCCTGCCGAGCAGGGAGCCCGATGCAGGACTCGATCCCGGGACTCCAGGATCATGACCTGAGCCAAAGGCAGTCGCTTAACCAACTGAGCCACCCAGGCATCCCTGTATGAAGACATTTTAAATAAAATTGGGATCATGCCAAACATGCTGTGTGTTACTTTATTTTTTAACTTTTTTTTTTTTTTACATTACAAAATACTTATTTTAATGCCCTTGGATAGAATTACATTTCAAGTGGAAATGTTTCATCTCTGTGAATAAAAAGAAATATTCTTGAAGTGAGCTATCTGTATTCTTCTCTGCAGGAAGAATGTTTCCTGAACCTAGAGGCTCCTATATCAAGAGTATGTGGGTATGACACACCGTTTCCTCATATTTTCGAACCATTCTACATCCCAGACAAATGGAAATGCTATGATGCCCTTCGAAAAATGATCAACTACTGATCATATTGGTAAGTCAGCCCTGCATTTTGGCAAAGCTGGCATATATCACATGACTGTTCCGTTAACCAAGAGCCACGGTCATCAGTGCATTGGCAATTTCCAGAACAAAGTGGATTGAAGAAAAGAAATTGAAATTTATAGTGGTATATTTACATATAATAGAAACACATCAGGTATATGTTTATCTGAAATCTATAAACCATGCGTGCGTATATTAACATTGAGTAATCAAATATACCTTACTCCACTCTTCCAACTTTACCCTCATTTCTGTATATTTTTATCAGCCATTGTTCATGAATTGGGTTAATTTCTGTTATTTAAAAATGGTCCTTTGAGCACCATTGGTTTGGACTCCAGTGAATTTAAACTATATGATGATCCGTAACATGAAATTTGCCTTTATATTATCTAAAAATAGGTTTGTTGAGCAGGAAGCCTATTTATTGTGTATAGGGAAGTTTTTACTTAAAAGAAAAATCCAGCACCACCACCATTTCCAGAATCCTTTTTGGCAAGTGAATGTTTTTAAATTGTGGATAATAAATGACATTTATTTATTATGATTTTTCTATGCTTATCTGCCTCTTCAGCGGTGTTATTCTAGCAAAAAATGAGTATCATTAAAAACTGTTTAGTTTTCAGGTTTTAATATAGAAAGAAGTTGCTATCACTGACACACTGCTTTATTTTATCTTGGCATTTTTGAAATGCATAGGTAGGATAAAATTTTACATTTAATATTTTAATATTAACATGTGATATTTACATTTTAATATCTAGATTGTCTAAAAAATAGTAATAAGAATACATTTTGAAGAACTGCCATCTTTCAAAGAAAAAGGGAGAATAGGCTCTGTGTAATAACATAAGCCCACACTTTTTAAAGATAAGAAATATTGTAATCCTTGAATTCTATGTCTGAGGAGTAAACCTAGCCCATCGAAAACCAGAGAGATACCTTTAAATTTGTACAGATAGAGAAAATAATGTCCCCCCCCCGTTTGCCACTATGACCCCCACATTTTTTGCAGTTCTATTTTGAGAATGTTGCAGATGTAAGTTTGGGCCATTAGTCCACACATCCTTGGTATTCTCTCAGACATACTGAGGGAAATGCTGTGTATCTGGTGTCCTCTTAATGTCTGTGAAAGCAACTGGCTTCGACAGTAAGTCACACTTAGGACTAGTTAGAGGAATACCATCTCTTTTGTCCATCTTCTTCTTTCCGTGGACTGTCCCTAATGGACAGTCAAGGTAATAATAACGTGTGGCTATAGAGTTTAGGTGCTGGTTTAAATTTGGATATATAATTCTTTTTAAACATAAAAAATATTTAAACCTATTGAAAACATGATAAAAGAATAGTTTTTCTATGCTTTAAGTGAAATATGGCATTAAGGAAAAGAGTCATGCAATTAAGAAATCTATACTTAATTCATGGTGGCCACAATGTCTATAATTGTTATTAATTTCTTTTACAGAAAAACTGGAAGATTGTGACTAGACACGGAAATATTTTTCTGAAAATTCTTTTTATTTCCTCATACTTCTCTCTTCTTGAAAATAGAGTTTTTACGAACTGAACCACCATGGATATTGGCTGAAAATTTTTAATTAGTTATTGTATTAACACATATGAATTGATGATTTCCATTAAGAGTGTCTGAATAACTTTTTAAAATGCTTCACTTGGTAGTCTTATAAATTCCATTTAATTACATCTGTAAATATTGGGCATGGGGCAGTATTCAATAAAGCAAAATCAGATTGTCCTCAGGTTGTGTGTCTTTTTTTTTCATTAGCTAAAAGAATCTTCATCAGAGTAATAGATTAACTTGTTAATTAAATCTGAATGAAAGTGAAATGCTTAGAAATGCTGATTTTCAGCTTCATTATATTTAGTGTAGTTCTTTATGGCTAAGACGGTTGTATGTTGATGGAACTTCTGGGATATTTTTCCTGGTTCTTCCCTCTTGTCTCAACAAGATGCATTAATGGGGTTGCCTAGGTGACTCAGTCGTTAAGCCTCTGCCTTCCGCTGGGGTCATGATCCCGGCGTCCTGGAATCGAGCCCCGCATCGGGCTCCCTACTTAGCGGGGAGCCTGCTTCTCCCTCTCCTCCCAGCTCGTGCTCTCCCTCGCTATCTCTGTCCTTCTCTCTCTCTCTCAAATAAATAAAATATTGAAAAAAAAAAAAGATGCACTGATGGACATACTCACTTTTTCTCATGGTGGGGCAGGACCATCCTTGCTGCCTCTCTTCCTAATTTTGGTAGATGGACAGCATGAGCCTGTCTTTTGTTATAAAGTTGCCAAGCTTTTGCTACAGCTATAGATATATATATATATATATATATATTTTTTTTTTTTGCCATGATGTTGCAAAGGAGAGATCTTTTTCCATGTTCTTTCCATTATTTGTAGATAAAAAGAAAAATAACATTAGCAGCATCAAAAGGCCCTGGCAGGACTCCTGTGTGGCTCAGTCAGTTAGGTGTCTGCCCTGGGACATGATCCTGGGGTCCTGGGATCGAGTCCTGCCTCCGGCTCCCTGTTCCGCGGGGAGTCTGCTTCTGCCGCTGCCCCTCCTCCCAATCGTTCTCTCATTCTCTGTCTCTCAAATAAATAAATAAAATCTTAAAGAAGAAAAGGGCCCTGACAAGATGAAGCCTCTGGGTTGGGTACATTGCCAGGGCCCCTCATTTCTTAATCTGCCTCTTCTGCCCTTCATTTGAGTTTGAGACAGGCCTGAACAGCCTCAGGAATCCCTCCGCAGGACGCCTCATCTCTGGGGGCTTGGCCCTCCCAGGTGGTGCTAGCCAGTCTGCCACCCCTTCTATAGATTCCAGAAAGTTTGTTCTCACCAGTTCCAGCAGAAAGATCCACCTCCCTAAAAATCAGAGAAACAGGGTCATAGAGTGTTTTCCTTTCTCTATAAAGACCAAATGGATATTTTCTTATGATTACAAATGTTCATTTTACTTTATTTATTTATTTATTAAGATTTTATTCATTTATTTGACAGAGAGAGACACAGTGAGAGAGGGAACACAAGCAGAGGGGAGTGGGAGAGGGAGAAGCAGGCTTCCCACCGAGCAGGGAGCCCGATGCGGGGCTCGATCCCAGGACCCTGGGATCACGACCTGAGCCGAAGGCAGACACTTAACGACTGAACCACGCAGGTGCCCCTATTTTACTTTAAAACTACAACTTAAAAAGCTGCGGTCTGTTTATTTTTATCAGATATTTGGAGGATACAGAAATCTACAGTAATATTTGTAGATTGCCAGAAACTTGGAGGTAAAGTAAATGCACTTTATCACAGATTCTGTATAGCAATGGGCTGAAATAAAGAACCAGCGCACTTGTTATGGTAAAAATAAAGCCCTGTCCTTGGTTTAAAAATAGAAACACCTGTATATTATAGAATTGGGAAAAGATGTACTTGTCAGCAACAAGTCTGGATAACATTTAGGGAATCCGGTTGGCTTATGATACAAGACATTCTGAGTTTAAAATGCCAAAACTCAGTATGAGCCTTGACTTTTCTTCACTATCCACAAAAGTCATGAGGCATCCTTGCAGGGAACTCTTCACTTACGTGGTCAGTCTAGCAGAGCAGGAAATAGGCAGTATTCAACATCGGGGCCTTAATGGGTTCTTTTGAACATATTTGTTTCAGCTGGACTTACTTTTTTAGTGGCTATTATTTATGATTTTAGTTAAAGTTACTTATTTTAAGTTAATTACCAAAGATATCTTTTTAATACTATTTTTTCTATTCATCTGTTCCTGTAAGAATTTTCCCTTAGCTATTTTATTTTCCATTCCTCTGTTTTGAAATAGCAAGCATGAGGACAACTGTGGGGAGTGTCTGTGCACTGGGTGCCTGAGTTCTAAGGCATTTCCCCCTTCCAGTTAGCCCTGCAGGGCCCACCAGTAAACACCCTTTTCCCTTTGAAAATACTTACAATTAATATTAAATTCAATCTATGGTGCAGGATGTACATGTACATCTAAATAATTGTCCTAAGTGTATTTTCTTTACATGAAGCAAATGTTCCATATTGTGAAAATAAGAACATTGAAATGAGGAGACCCCCCCCAGGGGGTGTTAAGTGAATTTGGAGAAGTTCTGAATCTCCAGGACTCCCAGCTCAGCACAGGAAGCCTGCTCCCTGGGACAACATAGATATGTAAGTGAAGGTAATCTTCTACACTTCAAATTTCCAATTCCTTTAGGAAGAAAAACCATGATCTAACATCCGTGTTCTATACAACTGATAGAGATCATCCACATTATGTGAACAGACCTAGATACATTAGAAAAAGAAAGGCAACACAAGATCGAGAAAATGACCTCAATTCAGTCCCTTAGGTTTAAGTCACATGATCTAGACACTCTGAGTAAGAATTCTGAGAAGACATCCCATAGAGGGTCCACATTTGGTTTAGTGAAATCCCTTTCCCATCAGCTTGCCTGTGGTGGACATGCGTGGTTTCCAGGGGCCTGGCATCCCTACCCCCACCTTCTAGTAATAGAGCTAATGTTTGTTTGAGAACATTTGTTGAGAACTCCCTCCTCACTGCATGCGGCTCTGGAGGGGCTGCCAACCTCTGTGCTGTTAGCACGAGCTGCAGAGATGGCCCTGGCCCAGCCTGGTCAGATGCCTCAGAATGGAACGTCAGGTTACCCGTGCAGAAACAAAACTCGGCCTCCACCTTGTCAATGACACTCAGCTCTAAAAGATTGGTTCTCAAACTTTTACCTCTTCCCAGTATACCTGAGGATATACCTGATAGGTGTTAACCAGCTAGCACAGCGTTGACTTGAGCAGAAACTCTTGGCTGAGGGGTGAGAAGCATGACCCCAAAGCCATCCTGTCAGAATTTCCAGAGAGACGTGAGGTTTGGAGAGTCTGATACACCCTCATAGGCCATCCAGTTTGGAAAGAAGTAGAAAATATTCATACATGGGCAAAGATTTAGAAACCCTGATACCTGATACCTCCCTGAATATCATAAAGATACTTGCCAGGAAAATGAGAAATAAAATAAGTCAAGAATGAGGAAATCATAGCTGGGAAGGACTGGAAGTACAAATGGAAACAAGTTAAATAAAAAGATATATATCTAAAATAATTGTCTTAACTACGCTTTTTATGTGAAACAAATGGTTCCATATTGTAAAAATAAGAAAATGGTGATAATAAATATGACTTAAACTGACAAAGATTAGAGTAGTAGATTTGCCAAGAGGAATTCAAAAGTGCCAAATTCTTCATTTTCAGTAAAGAGAAGCATAACTTTATTATCCCGCTGTTAATCTTGAAAGTTTAATATTGATTTTTAAATGCTTCGAAAATAAAATTAATCACTAAGGATTGAAAGCAGCATATGTATCTGTTATATCATTATATAAACCATCTACACTATACTTATAAATTCATTCCCCAAACATTTAGTGGATACTTGTTATGGGCCAGGCACTGGGCTAGATCCTAAGATACAAAGTTAACTAAGAAACATGCCCTGCAAAGAAAATGGGAAAAAGTGTTTAAAGAGCAAGGAAAGAAAAATAGGAAAAAGCAAGGCCAAACAAAACAATTATGACCATAAATATAATGGGGTAAATTCCCTAGTTAAAAAGGAAAAACCTAGAGTGGGTTAAGAAACAAAATCCTGTTAAAAGCTCTTTACTAGGAAGGGTCTTGAAATAAGTTGACCTAGAGAGGTTGAAATTTGAAAATGAACAAATAAAATTAGGCAAAAATAAATATGAAAACAACAAATGTGGCAGAATTCATATCAGACCAAAGACAAGAGAAAAAAGTATGCAGTCAATAGTAACAAAAGGAATATATTACAAGGAAGATATAACAGTTAAATTCTTTGTTCTAAGTGCGTAATATTAAAATGTAAGCAGAACTTTTGTAGATACAGAGGATGTGGATAGAAGAGTCGTAGACGACAACTTTGTCACCCCACTGTCAGTCTGATAGTTGAAGTAGATAAGAATAAGAAATAGGGTTGAGTCAACAGAAATATATTTTAAACTTTGTCCTCATAAACAGAGACTATATCATCTTTTAAAGCATACACGGTAGTTAAAAGAATTGAGCATATATTAAGGTAGACAGAAAAATAACAGTAAATTCCCCAGAGTATTAAAAGGCACCATGTTTTTTGACCACATCCCAAATTAATAAGTATTTCCAGCTACTTAGAATGAAAAACGTATCCAGCTGTGGAACCCAGGAGGAAATGTAAAACAATTACAAAATATTTAGAACTTAAGATCATTGATGTGCTTCAGCCAAGATTTTACTCTGAGGTAAATTCATAGACTTTAAATCTTTTCAAGAGAAAAGGAAAAAAACAAGATTATAAGAATAAAGGAGGAAGAAGCACAAGAATCATGAAAAAAATAAAATAGAATACAATAAAATAAAAAGTAAATAAAGGCAGAAAGTTCCAAATGACAAAAAGTATAAGATTGAAGTTATGTTTTCATAAAAATGGAAGTTTTTCTTTCATTTTATAATGCCTGTATCCTGTGAGGGTGGATTACATTACCTGTATTTTTATGGAATTATGATATCGGCAAAGAAAAGCCATGTTAATGGCTGTGCCTACGTCGGTGAATACTGTCATGGTTCTTTGTTTGATGCGGTGGGGGGGGGAGGAGTTATTTAGCAAAACCTAATCATTAGTACTGATGAGCAAACATCTTTGTTTTTAGGATATTTTATTCCATCATTTTACGAAAATAATTA